ACACCATAMCCCACACCATACCGATTCAAACTTAAATCTTAAGTGACGAGCCATAGATAWTGATGATGATTTTTTCTCTCTTTTGACTCTTTTCAGATTCGTTAAATGACGTCGGTGGAAGATTATAACAGATACAATAAATGCACTTAAGAGGCGATTATATATTATTATGTTGCATGTACAATCTGAGATTCTATTCACTGGGAACATATCAGTACTGTCCCTCCATGAAAATAATAAGAATTTCCAACTATTCAAACAGAAGATAAGTTCGCTACTGGTTACAGAATTTGAAAGYAGATTATAATGTCAATACGTGGCATAGGTTTTGTTCATTATTATAAGTGTTCAGTTCATATTTAGTTCTGTGTTAACTTGACCAAAACATGCAACGAGGGAAAAAAGATTGATGCTCTACAATGTGAAAAGGAATGTCTACTCAGGGTGAATGACTAGCGCTATACTTCTAGTGTTGTAGACACAGTCGGAATCGGAGTGACACAAGTTCAACGGAGGCAAAAGCGCAATGTATTTATCAAACCAATTTAACAATCCAAAATTATAGTTTTATAATTTTTCTCCTCTTTAGCTTGAACGGGCACTGAACGGCTAAGAAAAAGCAACATGACGTCTGCATTTTGGATTTGACCATAAATACTTCTGACTCTGTTTGCGAATGAAGTAAAAATGGATAAATTATTACACGGTAGAAACGTTTCTGACGTTGGTGGTTATAGAGAAAAATGCAATCCTGTAACTGAAATAGTTTAATATAGCATTGAAATGTAAAATTGTRCTTTGGACTACATTTTGTTTGCTTTATTAGTCATATATTTAAGTATTTTCAGAGCTTCTTTCAGCTTTATTGTGTATTATAAATCCAACCTCGTTCCAGACCCATATCTCAGGCGCAAGACCGAGGGTGAAGGGGATATGGACTTGGGAACGAGGTTGTTATAAATTCAATTGCGGGATTTTGAAGCCCGTACATTATCGTTTCTCTGCTTCCTTGTGAACCAAATTAAACGATATTTTGAAATGTCAATTTTCAAAAACCGTCGTGCCTTGTGAGTGTCTGTAAAAAAGATCAAGTATCTCAAGCATCTCAAGCATCTCTATATATCTGCTTCTATTATAATTTATCGTCTATACTTCTAGAAAATATATCATTTCTAATATTGCTATGTATTTTTATCTTGCTATGTATTTTTATCTTTTCTTTGAATAAAGCCGCTCTATATATTCCATTAARAAYCGGAAATTCAGTGTSTAGGGCGTCGCCGGCGGYGGTCTGCAATCCGGCGAAACCGCAGACCGCCAGCATGGCRGGCAACCGAAAAGAAAATCATTTTTCGTTTTTTCCGTACGTTCCTGTTGGTGGCCTGTATAAACGTGGTAAAGCCATGACTTGCCAATAATTGAATGCATACTTTCGCGTTCCTGTGTTTTTCTTTGTATTTTCGATTCTCGTTCCATTGCTGAAACAGATGAGACTTCAGCTCAGTGAAACAAACACATTAAGATATCTAGTTCAATTTAGAGGGAGGGGTGGCCGGTGGGTTTTAAATTACCTTCTCATGGCATCAATGGACTGCTGAAAGACATTAGGATCCATGTCGTGTTCTCTCTGGAGAATCAAAGCCTGTTCTAAGCTCACCGCCATAGCTGTGCGGTCCTTGGCGCTCTTACAACTTGTAAAACGCGCACCATTCATCCTCCAACATATCTAGAATGAAATATAACAGCTAAATGAAGTAAAGGCATAAAAGATCATCCGGAAATCCTGTCAACACGTTTCAAAGAGGGCGCCTATAAAGATTTTCTAATCTGTGTAAATGAACGGAAGAAAAGGAATAAAGAAAGAAAAAATGTTAAAGATTTAATTGAGTCAGAATGACAATGATCACTACAAGTAACAGTAATATTTTAGAACTGACAGCAAAATAAAAAATTGGTCGACGAAAATCAAAGCAGACTACCTCTTCGCTGTGTAACAAGATGTCTACATTTTTGTTTTTCCGACTTTCAACGTTAACTTTGAGGTGCTCCATAAGGTTATCAAGAGTAGGATCGTCCTTGTAACGTGAAACACCTGACAGGCAAAAGAAGAAAAAAATTATGAGCGATTACATTTTAGTCACTTTCAAAGTATTAATGCTTAATAATGTCTAATGCTTACATAATTCGGGAAATTTGTCTTTGAATTGTTGCGCATAAAAACTTAGGATRCTGTAGTTGTCACCGTTGATGTATTCTTGTAAGGAGGTATCACCAAACCTGTAAAATAGGATCGTAATTTTCAAGAATTTAAGAGTGTGCATTTAACAACAACAACATCGACAGCAACAACAAGAGCAACAGCCCATCAAACACAATAGCAACAACAACGACAACACCTGTAACACACTTGACGCACTTACTTTTCAGCTAGCGTTGCATGCTCATTGATTCCTTGAGAAAACATTACTGGAATAACTTTGATAACACGTCCTTCCTGGACATCTTTGGGCAGCAAGYGAAAGGATTCTTCTTGTACAGGAATGGTCACCATAATAGATGTCCTATAATAAAACCAAACACAAGTCTGGTAGAATTTCTCTCTTTTGTATTTGCACATCAAATGATGATCTTTGTTCTAATGGGAAACTAGCAGCAGATTGGTTGGAATCATTACAACRACGAGGTCTTGCAATATTTATTCAAAAGAACAATCAGGCACCCGAAAAACGAAACAAAAGATAAAATATYATACTGACTGTGAGTTAAAATGTAGAAGCTAGTGTTACGGTTAAACAAAAATGGCGTAAYCATGTAGTGCAGCTCTGCCATAAAAAATGTAGGAATGGGTAGTATACCTGTTTCCACTGAGGGCTGGTATTTCGTCTTCTCGTTCACAGTTTCTAATCTGTAAATCAAACCAYCAAAGGTTGTAGAAAGGTATGATGATAACGCCTGCATTACTAATGGTACCTACTTTAAACTTGACCCGAGTAAGGCTTTGCACACCTATGCACATATCTTCTAACATCCCCATCTCATCGCCTGTAATAACAATATATACATTTGATATGGGAGGGGAGGGATGAACTTATTAACTCCGAGAGGACTATATCAACATTTAGTCTGCAAATTCTCATTTTAAGGAAAATGACATGTATGCAATTTCATTGATTGACAGGATTGTGTTTTCATGACACCTGATATGACATCACAATGACGTCACAACTCATTGGCAATTAGTATTCATCTGCATTAACCAAATTTCGGCTATAAACAACTGTTGACATCGATCATTACCATAGATAAWCAAAACATTACCATTAGTGCTTAGCAGACTTTCAAATTGTGCYAAGAATCCAATCTCTGTCATTTGACGCCAGAATTGTTGATTTTCTAAATTGATATAAAGCTTGCTGATAAAACCTGCTACCAGAGACGTAACCTGCAGTAAAAGAAAATGAATYAGTTTATTTGTTCACAGTTTTCCCCCTCAGCCCTCTTTCATTAATGTTGGGTTTTGTATTTAGGCGGTCAGGGGGGGGGGGGGATGAAATTGTCTGCAGGTGTTGCTTAAAATGAGGAAATTCTCAGAAATGGCCCAAGGATTTTGTCAACGATTGTATTAATTTTTCGCTGTCATCTGTGATAATAGGAATAGCAGATATGACAGCCAGCTTAGACTGACATCTCATTCTYAGTGTACTTACAGCATGTGCAAACACAATATCATGTCTTCTCTTGATTGAAAACCGAAGCATTACATGTCTAGAATCCTCCTACAAGACCAAAAACAAATCAATAACACAATACAGAAAGTATATGGTTACAGAAAGAATTGATTCAAYAATTTTGGACAATGTATATTTGTTAACTACGAAACGGATGTAATAGTTGTAGCTACATTGCATGTCAATAAGAGTTGGTCAGACTTATGAAGGTAAGGCTAGAACTATTATTTACAGTAGATTTAGTTTAGTTGATAGGGATTACTGTAGTTAAAGGGCCATACATGTGCATCCAAGAAACTTTGCAATCTTGATCTCTTATTGGGTGCTTTCTGATTGGTTCAAAATCAAAGATGGCAAATTTGAATGCTTGCAGACCTTTAAACAGTGGAAGTACTAMAGCTTTTCAATACCTGTAGCTGTGCAAAGACAAGACCTAAGTAGATTTCTTTAGCAAGKCCATCAGCTGCTCTTGAGACATCATGGATTTCACTTAAGATGACATCATTCCATTGTTTACCTTACAAACAAAGATAAAGAAGACTGTCAATCACAAAGTATACTAAAACATTCCTTACAAGCCGGACTCATGGGATATACCACAGTGTGATGTACAACATAACTACTATGTTCATAATGCCCTGTAACTAATATATCTTACCTTCAGGTGGTTTYGCACCCTGTATCATTACATTTATGTGRGTTTGCATCACAGCCAAAGTCTGTTGCACCAGCTTAGAGAGTTCCTGCACAACCAATAATAAGTGTATGATACCGACATATTGTTTGTGTATCCTTTCTGGTCTTACAAATTAACTAACCTGTGCTTTATCATTAGAAAATGCAGTTACATTCCACTGCCATTCAGCTGAACAACAAATAATTTTTAGTACAATATTATAATATTCATAATTTAAATAAATAAAAAACAAATAATGTAATATAATAATAAAATAGATAATAAAATAKGAATTATTGTGAAATTACATGATTCAGCAGCTCCCTGTTCATCATCWCGAGGTCTGGGTACAACTTTCTCCAAAGCACTCAAAGACTCTGTAACTAATGGGATTTCCCTGAGCTTTAGAAGATGATTAGTCTGAAATATCAAACAAATATATTGTATCAACTTTTGCTCTACATACAACAAGAGTCTTGCTACTAGTGAGACTACATCACAGTCCACTTTGCAATCATGAAAGATAGCTGTCCATAGTATGAGTAAGGTTTATCATTTCAAGGTCATTGGTTGTCACTATTTTGGCAAGACTACGTTAATATTATTGCTCATTCATTGTTGAAATAATTACCTTGTCTGACAGGTTTGCAAGTGAATCCACAATGCTCTGTACAACAAGTGATTTCATGCTCCTATCAGTAAGAAACAAACACACAAAAAAAGAAAAAAAAGAAGAAAGAAATTGAAATAAATGACATTAAAATGAATTCAGACAGTTTTGGTAAGTTGTGTACACATTTTCACAGTGGTTCACAGCTTTTCACAAACATGACTAATTTAATTTTTTTAGAATCTTACTGAAATATAGGGTGAATACCAAGAATCAATCATTATTTCTTACTTTTTCAGCCTGTCRCATAACTGAGATATGGAAAGTTTGAGTCTTTCCAAAGTAACTGTAATAAACAAAATACAGTTTAGTAATAATATGCACTTATTGACTGCGTGAGAGAGCAGCATTTTTAGTAATAAAATATACACTTATAGGTCATGCTGTACAAATGACTTCAGAGTCCATACAGCCTGACAAGAAGGATCTTATCATAATATGAAGACAATCTTTGTAATCAATTTTCAAAGGTTCTCTTGCAATTATCCCTGAATTTATTGATCAGTGAAGAACTGAAACATGTTTTTCTAGACACTCCCATGACCCTGTATTTGGTATTGCTCATGCCATAGTTTTTTAAAGTTTTTTTAAGCCAAAGTAAGGACAAATATCATTGGGACATGATTATGATAATTGGAAATAAAACTACCTCTTGACTGCTTGAGTAGTGCTGCTTTGTTCTCTGCATCTGGGTCTCTAAAATTGTAGAACATCATGACAATCAATACACAGCCCATCCTTCCCATAGTTACCATCACTCCTATATACAGTCTCGCTATTACTGATACCCTAGGGACTGTAATTTAGTGTCAGCAGTAGCGAGAGTTTGTACTAACAAGAGTTACTTTCAGGCAATTCTTTGTATTTTTTGCGTGGGATTAAGTATTTTACTGTCTGCAATATCGAGTTGTCTCTTGTAGTGGGGTGTCCGTAAGGTGAGAGTTGACTGTATATATTTCTTCTTTCTGAATACTGTATTTGTCAAGGTATTCTCTTATGAAGGAAGACAAAATTCTTCTCCATTCACCAACCATAATGCGATGAGAATCATTTTTTGAAACTGATTTTTAGTTCATCATGATCTGTTCTGAGAAAGTGAAATGAAACCAGCACAACTACAACCAACTAGAAAACCTATGCAAATGGCTTCTGTTCCATGACAAATGTGTTTTGTTTGTCACAGTAGCTTTTTCTATTATACCGGTACAGTACTAAAGGTGATTAATACCACAAAATCAGTGTTCACAACGGCTTGCATAGCCTTGTTCATCATGGGCACTCAGAACAGTACACAACTGCAACAATTCAGTGTGTGGATACAAAAGTTTGTAAGTGCAATGTTTCAGTGAATGTTCTTACATGTGTTGCTCTTTCTTTAACTGCACCATCATCTTCCTTAGWCCACCCTGGTTAAATTTGAGTGTGTGGCAAACAGGTGCTCCTACTGTTATTACATCATACACTTTACCTACAGGGCAAGTAAAGTTAAGGAAATTATCCCATTTTTCTTAAAAATTAATGAGTAACATTCAAGTTCTTAAATTGTTGCTTCAATGCACAGACATTATAATCAATAAAGTTTTAAAACTGGTTGCGCTTCCTTTCATCAAGTGAAAAAGCTAAAAACATTAAATATACTACAGTGTTGTAAACTGTGAGTCATGTTAATAAGGTACAGAAAACAAGATATGGAACTGTATGCTCAACAAAAATTATAGAAATAACAAAAATAATACCTTCACGGATTCCATCATTGACTCTCAATCGCTGCAAATGCAGATTAACTGGGATRAATGGCAACTGTTTGTGAGCCTTATGTTTACTTGCTTTAAAAGTATTACCTTGGAGAAACACAAACATATAAATGACTACACTAAACAAGGAAACAACAAAACAAGCAAAAAAAAAATAGATAAATAAATAAATAAACTGCTTGATTTTTACCTTGTAGAGGGACAAGATCTCTCAAAAAGTTTTTATATATAAAAATAAGTTTGAAGTGRTTTTCAATGACTGCATGTCTGGCACTTTCCCAGTCTGGATTTAACTGTTTAATGAATGAAAAAAAGAAAACATCAAACCAAAGACAGTTTGCTAATTTAAGTCAGCTGASATATATACAAGTGATACAAGAACAAGAGAAAAATATAATGTCCTTGAAAGAAAGAACGTGAACTCACAGTCCCAGTTTGTTAACCAGTACATCGTGAATGTGCAATTATGCAACTGGGAAATATGGGTAGTCAAGYTCAGAAAAAATAGTTACAAACTAAGCTATATTACACACAATTATTTAGAAATACAACATATTAATAATTGCTGATTGAAGGCTTAATTTTGTACTATATACACATGGAAAATAGAACAATTTAGTAAATATAATATTATTTACATCTCCTAAATGGTGCAATTCCAAAGCTCTTTGATGCTCTTCGGCAATGTATATTTTACTAAGGAATAAATAAAATATTAATCAATGTAATCAATAATGTGTAAAAGTGTCATCACCTAATAATTACTAAAGATTCAGATGAACCTTGGTGTAGATTAATGACTCAATTAATATTGACTCACAGTAGTTGAATCGGAATCTTGAAAGCAAGAGTACTTTCTCCCATTAATTCCACTACTTTTAAAGCTCGTCCAGGCTCTCTGTCACAATATAAAACAACACCTTTTATTTGTGATTGAAATATGCTCATTGTGTATGTCAATTGACACAATTTTAGATAACAAAACAATCTTATCTGCTTTYTATGTTGTTCATAATGGTCTTACTTGGTTGGAAATCTGTAGCTCCTGGTAAGAATTTGTTCTACGTATCTCATTGATTTGCCAGAACTGTTTCTTCTTACACTTAAACAACCCTCTAAGCTCTGCGCACAATTTAAAGGATACAGATATTTATTCAATATTCAAGAGGCAAGTAGAAAATAAATTACCCATCACAAATCAAGAGGCCATGATCAGACTAATGAGAAATAATACTGTACTTACGTCTACAGAGTCATGAGTTGATGCCCTTGATCTGCAGTCTGCTTCTCCCTTTAGGCAGATAAAAATATCCATTACATTATGAAGCTGAAATCATTGGTCTCCTTTACAGACTTTCTTTTGTTTTAGGCTTCCCTGTCCCACTTGTTGACACTTTGTTGTGGAGGGACAGGAAGGCAGAGAAAAATAGAGAGATTGCAATGGGGATTTACAATGTACATGACCTTAAAATGTAGACATGTCATATGTAAGCATGGCATTAATGATCAGAGTCCTTATTTTATTAATTTATTTTATTTGCTCTTTCGACATACACTTAAAAGAATGAGAAAAAAAGTACAAGTACAGTACTTGTAAGGCCCAGGGTTTGCTGAAAACCGATGGTTTTGTGTTTTGTTTTGCTTTGAATCAATGCGATTTTACTTTTAAATCGGGTTTTACTAACCTGCCAACCAAGTATCACAACTGTACCACATGGCGCTGATGAATCTACAGAACTGCATGGTTCAAAGACATCTTTACACTTTATCCATTAGACCGTTTGATTCAGGAGGGTTTTGATTGATAATTATTAATTTATTGATTGAAGATGAATTGATTGACTGATTGATCATTTGATTAATTGATTGGTTGATTGATGATTTGATTGAGTGACTGACCATTTGATTGATCAATTGATGATTTAATTGATTATTACTCACGTCAATGTAAGTGTAAGTTTTTGATCTGGTGATGATATGATGTCCTTGATAGTACACACAGCTTGACCAAGGATTGACATCTGCAATTAGAACAATTATAATAACAACCCTCTCTTAATGACATTTAATTTGCAAGATAACAAGGCATCATCTTAGTTGATACTTTGAGATCATTCTTGACTATAAACATCTTACTCACTTCTTCCTTTTCTCTGTCAAGAACATCAAAAACTGCTAGTTTTAACCTAGTAACATCTTGTATAGTTCCATTAGATGGGAATACCACTGTTGCTAGAAAGTATGGGTCTGTTTTATTCTGAAAAAAAAAATTAATTATCTTCAACTGTCAGGCAAGGTTCCATGGATTATCCATACCTCMTGTCAATGAATAGTCATACAAATCTTTGCACATTTCCATCACTCAACGATATTCTCCTCTTGTTATTATGTATTACATTATTTTTCTAAGTATACTAAATAATAAAAGTAAGAACTGTAAGACTAGAGGATGAAACATTACCTCAATAATCTCAGTCTGTGCATGTTTTATCCAGGTTCCAGATGGTGGAGTCATTGTTCTGATTTCAACAAAGGTATTTGGYAGCCTTCCGTCTACGCACCGCAAGCCATTGCATGCTTTAAGATAACATGACATTATTGTACATAAAAATGTTTTCAAATAAACAATATTGTTTGGTAAACAATTAATGACTTGTAGAGGGCGCTGCAGAATTGATCAAAATCGAAGGAAAATCTGAATCCAGTTAAGTGTACTGAGCCACCAGTATTTTTGGTTAGCAATTTATTTATTTATCATTTGATATTTAAAATAATGATAACTGATACAATACTTACCCATGCACATTTCAAGAAGTGGAGCCTCATCTGGATTTGTTGTAGTACTRGCTGAAGATGAGTACTCTCCAATTCCAGGTTTCAATGGCTGAGGATTGGTGATAATACAATTAGCACCTTCTCACAGGTATAAATAATAATACATAGAAAGTTTTTAATGTAGTGTGAAAATAATTTAATAAAAGCATTGTTTGTGACATGATTGTTGATTGTTAGTGAGCTATACAATCATAAATACAATACATAGATAATTGAAAAAATTATATTAAAAAATCCAGATATCACCTATTGAGTGCAGACACATGTCAATTCTTATTTACAACATATCAACAAAAATTCATAAGTATTATTTTACCACACTTGTGTTAATTCTTGTGCAAAGATTGGGGATTAAATAAGAAGACACTGTGCAGACTGTGCTGACACCATAATGTCTTCCATGCATCTCAGTTTAAAAAAAAGGGTGATTTTTGCTACTTATCTGGACTTGTGGCAATAAATTACGTGTTTCGTTTTGTTGTCTGTTCTCTTATTGATTCTCTCTTATCGTCATAAAAGGTTAAAAACTTTGCATGCAACTCAAAATTGTACACAATTTGTTAAAGCTTACCTCTTGTTGTGCTAGTGGATGTGAATCTGGCAGTGGATCCTACAAACATGTAACACAACTGCATTATTCTTTGTTTTATATTAACAGTACCCAGTCATCATCCCATCTGATAATTTCACCAGTGAAGGATGAGATTAGATCAAGAAAGAGAACATGAAAATGTCAGCCACTTTAGCGATGAAARTRTCAGSAARCARAGGGAAGAAGTCACAAAAGTGACAAAGAAAGMAGAACAAGAAGATGAAAWTGTTTTGTWMYTWYMAWWA